TATGCTCTAGTTTTATTCCTGCCTTTTTTCTCTGGGGAAGAGGGGGAGAGAAAGATGAAAAGGTAAAATTAATTTGTTTCTTTGATAAGGCAGTTAAGAAGCACATCGGCCCCTCCGAGCATTTCAATAGCTTATCCCCTTTTCTAATATTTCTGAGAGGGGAATGAAAGCTGAATGTTCAAAACTGTCAGCACATCCACATTTTCTTATTTGAAAACTGAAAACTAAGACTAATTATAATGGCTTGCACAGTCCAATTACGTTGCTGATCTAATCAGCTAACATCAGGAGAAGCAGTGAATAAATCTGCACAATAGCTGGGACACAGAGTCGATTTCTCTCTGGCCCAACACATTTAAAGCATGCTTTTCAGCTCCATGGCATCCAAAAAAAAAAGAGATGATGGCTGCAAAAAGTTTGTTGTATCTTCCCTTCCCATTTCTCTACCCACATACCAAAGGAAAAAGCCTTTAATTTACAAAGGATACTGTGGGTTGTTGTTTTTTTTTTTTTTTTTCTTTTTTTCCTGGTATGGGCATACCCTCTTGAAACAGAGCAAACATAAGCACTTGGTTTTCATTAGTTAGTGACTAAATATGTTATGAGACAGAAAATTGGCAGAGAAAGTAAGGCTGGTTTGTTCGTGTTGGTCTTACTGTCGGCTCTTTGTGCACACTCTGAGTGGCAGGCCTCTGTAAACCAAGCTCAACTCTTGCAGGGTCCTTCTTCAACTCTATTGAGGGCCTGTCCCCTCTGGCTACTCCGTCACATTTCAGCGATCTGCTTGGTGAAGGAGTAAATATTACTGTTGTACACTCTTTATCCTTCTCTTCCACACCGTTGAAATTTTCTCCATTCATGCTGACTTTTCCATCTACCTGCAGAATACAGTTAAATAAATATGCTGAGGCAATTAGCATTCAAAGGAATTCAGGAAATTAGGACTTCAACATGATACTACAATTGTTAACACAGTCTGTGCCATCAGGGAAGGACAGAGACAAGCACACATTTCATTCAATGGGTCAAGATAGAAGAAAATCCTGTTCCAGGGGGATCATAAACAAGATACAGACAGAAGGTAAGAATTTTTCTGGATTCCCCCATTTCCCACATTTTGTTCTCCCAGTAATCCACAGACACCCTTTGTGTGCACCACAGATCAATGGATTTTAAAAGAACAACAAAGAATTATGTTAAATTTAGACAAAAACTGCTGGGTTTTGCACTGCCTCATGCAAGAGGCAAGAAAGTTCTCCAGAACTAATTACATTGATGAACTGCTATGTACCCCGACAGCCTCACCCCAGTATTAGTAGACTGTGCTTTCTGCAGCACTGTCATGTGAACTTTAAAGCATCACGAGCATAAGTGTTCATCCACTTGTTTCTTTACTGTTCATTAACAGGGAAGCAAGGAACCAACAAATAAAACTGGGCATTCCACCTTCTCCATGAGGTGATAACATCAATAGCTGCTTTCCCAGAAAGTGATTTTATGCAGTCTCCATGAAAAGCAGAACACAGAAACTGTTTTACTACTGTTCTCAGGGTCAAGCCAGCTCCTGTTGGGCATATATTCCTGCTAAGGAACATTTAAGCAAGAAATAAAATACAAAATAAGCTCTAGCTTCTTCCTCTGCACTGCTACAGCTTCCTCTCAGAGCTTTAATACTTCATAATTATGTTCTGAATGGAGGTGGCATGTAAAGACTTCCTCCAACTTGGGAGGGCTGTTTGCAGAAACCATGGTACATATGGAAAAAGTCTTGCTACAAAGAGCTCACAAGCCATTCACCATAAGAGGGCCCCCCTGCAGAGGGACCAAGAGAGGACCAGGTATCAGTAACACCATATTGCTCCTGCCTAGCTGCAGCACAGGTGTTTACAGGCTTGTCAGCAGGGGTGAGTTTTAAACAGGTTTAAAGGAGGCCTTTGCTATTCTCGCAAAATGGTCATCACGGGAGACAAGGCCCAGGTGAAGGAGTAAATATGGACAGACTTCTCTGGTAATCATTGGACTTTGGGATCTGTTGGCATAGATCAGTGATTTCTTAAATAAGCTGTATGGGATATATATGGTGATTAGTCATTTCAGGTTTCTCCACAGGTACTGCATAAGCAAAAAACACATGTAAAAACAAGCTCACGGGTAAGCGCCCTTCCATGAGAACTTTTCACTTATTTTGCTGTTACCCACTCAACACAGTACCATTCTTAGGGTTTCCTTCCCAATGCAAGTATGAGCAGACACTGAGCCCCAAGTCTTCTGGGACTGCGTGCTGGATTATCTACTAGAGAGGCAGGTCATGAAAGATGTCAGAAACAAAAAAGCCAGGAAAACACTGGCACGCCACTCCATCCATTTTCGTGTCTCTGTTTAGACTAAGACATTTCTCTATTTATATTAGGGAGGAAAACCAAATGTTTGAATGATCAGGACAGATGCTCCGGCTGCAGCATTAAACAAACATACTCCTTTCCTTCTGATCTGGAGCAAGTCAACACATTGTCACCAGAGCCGAGAATCATCAACAGACTGGTGTTTCAAGGGAAAATAATGCTACAGGTACATGTGCTAGGGGTCACATTCACATTCTTCAATATCAAGCAAACAAGATCTAGACAGACTTTTAGTGGTGGTTGGTGAGGGGTAGAAGCATCTGTGGGTTAGTTTCTCCCCACATTATGTGACCTATATATGCATGAACTTCAAAGTGATACACACATGTATCTCAGTCCTTTGAGGAAAAAGGTGGCATGGATCAGAAAAAAAAAACAAAGGTTCATGATTTACTGATGTCTAAAATGTAAACTCCAGGGGAATACAGGAGAAATGGGAATTACCAGTTTCACATTTCAGCTAGGAAACATGGTAGGGGGTTTTCCACAGGAGCTGGGCCAGACTTCAAGAAGTTAAAGACATCACAACACACTTTTTCACTATCTATACAAAGCTGACTTATTTTTTAAAAAGTAAACAACCTGAATATACATGGTAGAAATGCTACTGGGACATGAGCAGGACTGCAGGGACCTGTGCACGTCACTAGCAAAGCATCAGATAGCAGTGGCAGACACAAGGGGGCCCAAACTCTATAGGCTGGGGACACCCATGCCAGTAGGCTTTGTACTGCCTACAACAAGGCTACAGTGAGACCTGGGGAAGCTCCAGTTTTGGTACAGGCACTGCGAGAAGCAGATTTCTTCAAACTTGACTTATTCTGGCCTGTTCTCTCTAACACATCCCAGTTCTTTGCTTTCTCCATCACTGGTTCAGTATCTTACTCCCATTCTCCACACCCACCCAGACCAAAGATATACTCCTCCGGTTTCATATCCCAGTTTCCATCTCTTCTCCTCTCCTTTTCCCCCACAAATCTCAGAGCTGGCTCCTTATTCCAAGCAGCCCTGCTTTCGTCCAAGCTCTCTTCTTTTATTCTCACCATCTCTGTGCAGTTCTTGCAACCCAACAGCAGTCACTCCCCCTCTCTCACCAGCAACCCCCAGTGACACCACTGCCCCAGTACAAATCCGTTCTGCTAAACCTGCATGGACAGCCTATATCCCCTCTTTATGCCAGTGAAGCAGCTTTCCCCATTCATCCCTGGTGAGAAGCATGTTTAGGGCAAGCTGGCTCTTGACTATGAAGGAGTAGGGACTCTCTACACTGAACACATGCACACTGCAGTGTTTCAAAGGCTCATGACTTGGCTGAATGGGACAGACTTGTTTGGATACAGCAAAAATCAGACCTCTGACGCAAAATCCAGTTCAGGTCTTGCTCCAAAAGTCAGGGCCTCCATGCTCCCTGCCCCTTCCCTTTTGTTTAAAATCAAAAAACCATGACAACATGCTTCTTCTTAACTTTTTTCTCAGAAAATGCTTTGCTTTTTCCTTAGAGGCCACCCTTTCCCTGTCTCTTCCCAAACCAATTTAGCCTGAGGAAAAATGACCAGCACAAGTATTCCAGTATGAACAGGTCGAGTTCCTAAGAAGGCTGGCAACCAAGAAAACAACACTAGACTGGGAAGCACAGAGCACAAAGCTGAGTTTTATAACATCAGAATGCTGCAACCCATGTTCTACTTAATTGTATTAAGCATTTACATGTTCAGATGATTTAGTCAGGATATGTTTGCCTCTCGATTTACTGGAGCACAATGTATCCTACCTTGAAGTTCTTTAAAACTTCCTGTGTATTTTTGGGTTGTGAGTAAGGCTTGGGTGTCAGCATAGGCACTGCCTTGGAGACAATGCTCTTGTTGGGAGATGTGCGGCCCGTCGAACCACTGGGCTCTAGTTCAGCACTGGGAACAATGGTTGCTTCAATGGTGGCAGTGAATTTTGGAGCAGGCAGCGACTGCTGCCTTAAATATCTCAGGGGATTTGGGTCTTTCAGTGGGGAATTTGGCTCCACTGAATGGCTTCTTTCCAAAATTTTTGGCATCTGCAAACGCTCAAGGACAGCTTCACTGATAGTGAATCTTTCGATGTACTGCTGCAGGATGCTCTCAGCCTCCTCCTGTGACTTTGCATTCTTGTATGCCTCATGAAGCTCCCGCTCTCTTCTCTCTCTGCAAGAGAGACAACATAAGAAAGACCATCACATTAAAATTAGTGCTGGAAATCACTCCTATTTCCTCTGCTCCATCAACATCCTTCCCTCTCCCTCATCCCAGGCCTGCAGACATGGCTGCCCAAAGTTATCCATCACCTGTGGAGCACACGACATTTTCAGACATGCCACTGCACTTCAGTAAAACAACGTACTTCTCTTCCACAATTTCTCGGTAGGTTTTGATGCTTTTTCTGCGCTCATTTGTTCCATCTCCAGACAATAACCTTTCCATTTTCTTTCTCTCAGCTTCTTTTTTAATTAAATCCTGTGAAGCACTCCTTCGACGACTCTTCCAGCGAGCCAAGTCCTGCGAGAGAAGGAAGACACCTGAATACAGAGTTGCAAATAGCTAAAAACTAGCCACAGAAACCAACTAACCCAGCCAGCTGCTTTGCTATCCTTGTTCCTGGCTGTGGACCAGGCTCATATCACCTGCAAGCAGTGTTGTTTATTTTAAAGAGAGAAGGAGATTATACCATAAAATGAAGATGTTGCCTGACTGATTTTTCTCCTAACAGCAGGATCCAGGAAGTATTTCATAGCTCCACTGGTGTATTTTCTTTTTGGCTTTGTAGTATTACAGAAGCACACTAGGTAATAACACCAGGAAATTCGGCCTAAAAGGGCAAGTCAGGGCATTCATTTTCACTTGGTCCAACGTTAGTGGCAAAACCTGATTCCCCAGGAAGATGAAGTAGAAAATTATGTTTGGTGAAGAATTTTAATAATCAGATGTGTGGGAAGCAAGAGTTCATTGGAGGAAGGGACTTTGTTTCACTATGAACTAAGCCGCACTGATAGCCTGCCTTGGAGAGCCGACAGTCCCATACTTTGCCCTTGCTATCAGCCAACTACATGCAGGTGTCCTGGGTTAAGCTGAGACAGAACTAAATTTCTTCATAATAGCTGGCAAGAGGCTGTGTTTTGGATTTGTGCTCAGACGAAAGCTGATAAAAAGTGATGTTTATGCAGCTGCCAAGGTCTTTCAGCTTCTCTGTCTGTCTGCAAACAGGAGAAGCTGGGAGGGAGCACAGCCCCAGTTACTAGCCCAGGATTTGATCTTAGGTTCAGGATTGAGACCCAGAGTGGCCAATAATCTATTCCATAACATACACGTCATGCCCAGTATATAGGTGAGGACTCTCCAGAAGATCAGCCCCTTTTTGGTTCTGGATCTCTTTTGCTCAGGGTCATCTCGTTCCAGGTGGTCCCTCTCCCAAGGCCTTTCTCCCCTCCCCTGCCGTCAGCTCTCAGTTTGGGACACTCAGACTGTTATCTCTGTTCC